AAATGCCCGGGATACGGGGGAGCCGTTAACCCACAGCCACTCCGTCTTACCAGGGTTTAGCTGGAGCCTGTTGTTCCCCATCCAGACCCTCACAGCCTCCAGGCAACGTGAGAGGGCGATCACAGCATCACTTACCTCACCAGGGATGGAGATATATAATTGAGTATCATCAGCATACTGATGATACCTCATCCCATGATGATGATCTCACCCAGCAATTTCATGTAGATGTTGAAAAGGAGCGGAGAAAGAACCGAACCCTGCTGCACCCCACAGAGGAGGGGCCGAGGATGGGACTTCTCGCTCCCTATCACCATCGACTGGAACCGGCTCCGAAGAAAGGAGGTGAACCAGCACAGAACTGTGCTGCCCACCCCATATCCCTGAGCCGTCCCAATAGGATACAGTAGTTGATGGTATCGGAAGCCGCTGAGAGATCAAGGAGAGCAAGGATGGTTGCACTTCCACCATCATCCATAAGTGCGACCAATGCCATTTCCATTCCATAACCGGGCCTGAAACCTGACCGATAAGGGTCCAGATAATCTGTAATTGTCTGTAATTCAACAATACTTCACCATTATTATTACAATACAGTGTATTAAATTGTATAAAACCAAAGTAAAAAACAAAGTTACTTAATTCAGCCGCTTCATTTTTTTTTCTCATTTTAGTAATATCGAAGTTTGATCAAAGGCTGAAATTGTTGTCATTCCCCCTAAGTACAGCACACTAGTAAAAGCATTTGCTCAGCTGTGGCAGCTTGAAGATGTCAAACAGCCTGTTGCTTTTAAACACTTCACACCATCTTGTCTCACAGCATATGTGACTATGTGGCCTTCGGGTGTTTGATGACCCCAGGGCTCATATTTTACCTTCAGAAGCCCATTTAGACTTGCTTTCCTTCTTTTATTGACTTGTATTTTCTTCCTCTTCTACTGCCAACATTTTCTAGGTAACATTATACGTAATATATGCTGTAACCACTGATAGCACTTACAAGAGATATAGGTAACAGACTGTTTTGAAACTTAGCTACTGAGAAGAGTTACGAACGTTTTTCGTCAGCATGGCTTAGACACTGTCATGGAAGGACAGTCCACCACTGCTTAATTGCTTGCCTGACCTTCCTCTCTGCACAGCACGGCTGTACTAACTGAGCATTCTTGCTATCACACAAAGCAGTGACCGAGAATGAGCAGGCCAGGTGGCAGCGGCTCCCTCTGCATGGCTCTTTCTCCAGAGCAGTGTTTCTCAGCTGTGGCAGCTTGAAGATGTATGGACTTATTCCCAGAATTCCCCAGCCCATCTGGCTGGGGAATTCTGGAAATTGAAGATTTCAATTTTTTTCAATTCATTTTCAATTCAATTCAACTCAACTCATCTTCAAGCTGCCAGAGTTGAGAAACACTGCTCTAGACCAAAAGAAGGATTTTGCATTGCCTCAAAGAAATGATGTCCAAGCGCAATTTGGGCACCAGGGGCAGCATTACTGTGCCTTGCCCAGTTCTTCCTGACAAGAGAAAAGGAAAGGGTGAGAAATGGGTTGGATGGCATTTTATGGGATTTAAAAAGACTAAGCCCAGGACCCAAATTGGACAATAGGATTTCAGGCCCAAAATGCCCTTAGCCTCTGAATGTTGTATCACCAGGGACCGGACTCCAAGAATTTAGCAGGTCCAGGAAAAAGAAGTGGGCAAGCCCACTTCATAGCTAAATTTGATGCAATTACAATCTGAATAACATTAAAATGTCTGGTTCTTAATTTTCCCTCTGTGAGCTGTGGGGTCGACTGACACGGGGGCTTTTCGCCACAACGCCGCCGCCTCCTCCTCCCCCCCCCCCCACACTTAGAC